TCATTTGGCAGATGATTCAGAAGTTTAAAAGCCCAGACCTCTAGGTTCTAAGAGCTCTCCTATCCCACAGCCATAAGTCTCCTAAACTCTACCTCTTAAATCATACTATTTCCACTTACATCCTTCTGTTTTTGCACTGAACTAAAATGCTGCCTTAACTTGAATTTTGCACGTCTGTTATCTGAATGCTGCTCAGATTTATAGCTGTTATGATGTTTCTGTCTCCCAGAGCTCTGATGCCAATGTAATGTAATTTGTTATGACATTTGTGATGCTAAATAAACATGCAAGTAAGCATTTCATTGTACTCAGGCACATATGGCAATCAAATTAATTTGAATACGACACAGCAGCTTCAGTGTTGAACAGTAAGTTTTTGTATGGGACTAGCAAACTGACTAATGGCAACTGAGACGAATTGTCATTAGAAAAGGCCATTGTACAGTATGTCCACAGTTGATCTGTTGATGTGGAGACAGCATGAAGTTCAGATCCAGAATATTCAAACACAGGGAGAGTCAACACTTACTTCAAGACCATCAGAGACAGACAATAAAAACAAGGACCCAGTCCTTACTTTGAAGCAGCCAGACTAACGAAATAGTGTAATTTCACAATGGACGTGATGAGACACACAATCCATACTATTTTAGGCCATCTTTACAATCTTTTGAAGTAGAAAGTTTAGTGGATTTTACTTGGCTGAATTTTTTTAACAGTGAAGTACGTTGGTGGATGCATCATGGTGTGGGGATGCTTCTCATAAGTAGAGAATGGGAATATTGTTAAAAATCTGAAGTTTGAGAGAATATTAACTTTTCAGCAGGATAGTGATCCAAAGCACAGGGCCAAAGCAACATTGGAGTGCCTCAAAAATAAAAAAAAATGAATGCCCTTGAGTGGCCCAGTCAAAATCCCAGCTTCAACCCCATGAAGAACCCCATTGGTGGCATGATTTGAGAACTGCTGTCCACAAGCACTGTCCAAAAAACTTCAATGAGCTGGAGCAAATCTGCCAAGAAAAATAGGTGAACATCAGTCCTAACCAGTGTGCGAAGCTGGTAGACATCTACCCCAAAAGGCTTAAAGCTATTATTGCATCAAAATCTGGCTCTACCAAATATTTAATGTGTGGGGTCTGAATTCTTATGCAAGCAACATATTTCAGTTTTTTACTTTAAGATATCTGCTGACAAATAAGTAATTTTGTCTATGAAAAAATGTTTGAGCATGTGAATTTGCAAATAAAAGTACTGATTGGAAATAAATGTGTATCATTTGTAATAAAAAAAATGAATTGAAGTTTTAAAGGGTCTGAATACTTTTGCAGGCACTGTAAAGTAAGTCAATTTGTTTGACATTATACTCACAAACTGTATTTCAAAAGAATTTTAGTGACCACTGTTTGATACCGCATATTAAAAGCAGGTTTTTCTGTACAATCTGGCTGAATATAAACTGAATATTTTTCTCATCCCATCTGCTGCAGATGCTTGGACCTTTTGAAAAAAATGTCAGCTCTACTGGCAACATTATGAGGTTTAGAGTTAAAAAAACATTTTTGGTTTAATCCTAAATTGTCCATTTTAATTAAGAAAAAAATAATCTATCTTGCTAAAATCCTAGGGTTTATATGTTTCTCACTGGCTTTCCTTCAGATAACTTAGAAATAGATGTTCACATGCCATTTAAACACTCTAAAATAGACTGTTAGAACCACCAATTTATTAATCCTAAATTTAATTAATCCTGAAAATTTCCTGAAGACATCTAAACAAAAGGGAATATTTGTCCATGTCTGAGTCAGCTTTGAACAGCTAGACCCATGTGTAGTAGTAAAGAATGCCCTATAATGAGAAATCAGTCACTGGACTAATACCAGACAGGTCTTTTAATTACAACATTAAAAAAACAAGTCTAGAAACACATGGGAAGTGTATGCTTTTTAATTTTTTAAGTGACAATTTATATTAATACACATTACACCTAATTTATACAATGTTTTAAAATAATTTAAAGTGACTGCAATAAATCTGTTTTACAGTCTGGTTTAGAAATGATAGTATGGCTAATACGCAAAGAAAACTTCAATATCCCCTATAAAAAAAGTATTCACATGGGAGAAAAGGACCACTTCAAGCCTTACATAAAAAGATCTATGTCTACAATCATAAGATTTTGTTAATAAGAAGCAAATAACAATTAAATAAAAAATCCAGTTAATTCTCACCATATCAGGAAAACAGTAATCATGTAACACACTATAATTATCAGAACATAACAAAGACGGTGCAATTAAAAAACAGCAATGTGCAGGAAGAAAGAAAAAAAATACTCCATTCCTTTCCATTATACTAACATGAAGTAAGAGTTTATTCCCATTTTTAAATATTGGGATGTACATGACACCCAGGGACATGAACAGTAAGACGTGTGCCAAGAATTAGACACTGTATGCAGAATCAGTGCTTATAATGAGATTTCCTTAGTGCTTACTACTACAGCTTTATTTAGTGATGCTAGCTAAAAGTATCTGACTTTGTTAGCAGGTACATCACCAGTGAGCTCTATCAAAATATATTTAATATTTACATCTCAAGATTCTGAAACCTTGATCCTTATTTCCATACCTTAAGGCACAGACAACCCATTCATATTCATCATAGTGGCTGATTTAATGACCGAGACTTGGTTTATAACCTGCAGCAGCCACTGAAGTAGTTTCTCTCCTTAAAGCCAGCCAGTAGCAAAACTACTGTCAAATGCAAACTTTCTCTCCTTAAAGCCAGCCAGTAGCAAAACTACTGTCAAATGCAAACTCTTCCCAGCACTGTAGCTCAGGGGTCTCCAACTCTGGTCATGAAGAACCTGAGTCCAGTTAGTCTTTAAGGTGACCACAAAGAGGAAAGCGTGCCATGTACCGATTAGTTAAATCAAGTAATCAATCTGTCCTTAATTGCTGATAAGATCAGCTTTGTACATGATCTTGAAATTAATGAACAACCTGTTTAGGTGATCGTGGCAGGATCATCACTGCTATAAAATAATACCCAGTGTTTAGCCATGTATTCATAAAAACATATTTGTGGAATCATGTTTAATTGCAATCTTTACAAGGTAGTTGGTCCCAAAAGAATGGAGCAAGATGGATATGTTTTACTTTGTAAAAGGAGATTCCCTTTCTGCTGCGTTCTTTATTTGTATTTTATTTTTACTTACATTTTTTAGAACAACCTTTCTAAATAAAACAGTGGGAAAAAAATCTAAACAATTTATTATATAAACTTGTTTATAAGTAACAGAAAAATAATTTAATGAGCCCCATTCCTGGGCCATTCTGTAGTATGGTCCATCTAAAGCTCTACTCTGTAATGAGTTTGCCCTTTACTTTTACATTCTCAGTGAAAGAAAAGGCAAAGTTAAATAAAACATGCCAAATCAAAGCTATGTACTCCAATGCAGGTAGCAATATCTACATTGTCACATCTAAAAAGGCAAACTGTTTACACATGTAAAGTATTAACATTATTGAATGGATTTTTTTTCAATTAAGCAGTTTTTAACAAATTTTAATTTGTTTTTATTGTTATTATTTATTTGAATTTTAACAAAGGTGTTTCAGGTAGAAAATAACCACAAAGTCTAAAGGAAGTTTCTGCAATCTTATTCTAAACACACTTGAGAGCAAGAAGATAAATTTACCTTTCAATTTCATGTGATACAAAGACAATGGAACACAACTTCTCTGCATAGTGTGGGTGAAAATCAGTATTTACTCAGGCCTCAGGATAAGCCTGATTTAAATAAGGTTCTCACACATTTTTAAACTTCACAGATTTCTTTGTAATAGTTCTTCCCATCTACCATAAAAATCACAACAGAGCAACATGCTGCTTCTTAAATGTATGGAACAAAATGCAATGGATTTTGAGACACTTGCTTCCCTACTCAAACAGAACAAATATTACATCATATTACATTATTTGGAAGCACCTGAGTTAATTCAAACTAAGACTCCCACGGTTCTAAAGGTATGAACCCCGAATGATCTGCACTCACTAGCTTTTGCCATGTTTAAGATCAATTTCACGTAAGAAAATCTGACAGCAGAAGTTCCTGATGGAGGCTTGTGAGTCAAGTCATTTTTCATGACTGAGTCAATGGATCTCAGAGGTGATTCACTCCTGGAGTTCACTTTCTCATCATCCACACTAGAAAAATATAACTGTTCACTTGCCACTTTCACAAAATCTCTTTTTCTTGACTCCTGTGGAAAAGCTTCAGAACTCACAGAAAAATCAAGCCCTACACAACACCCTAACTCTGGCTCTCCATTCTGCTTAAAAAAAAAAACTAGCCCTTCACTTTCCTCTTGGAAGACTACTTTAAACTAATTAAAACTCACACAAAAGTTCTTCACAAGCTCATCTGTATCACACTTCTGTTCTGTGCATTCTGAAGAGATCTAAGCAAAGTTTAAAAACCTGTTATATGAGGTACCAGTTAATAATTTAATAAAATATTACTTAAGACTAAAACCTCCTGTTATCAGAATATAAGCTGTGAAGAAAAAATAGCCTGATTCATAGTGTAAGGCTGTCTTACAAGGAAAACAAGGACTGAAAGAAACATACACAGGAATTACAGTTATTGATGGAATCATATCATTTTCCATTGCACTCTCAAGTCACAAACAAATCTGACTAATAGGTTCATTTTTGGTAGCCTAAAATCCACCTGTGTTGGACAAGGATTTCATGGCAGAAAAGTGGGGTAGAGACAGCTTGAGAGAGATACAAATGAGAGATAAAATGAGTCCTTAAAGGTTTTCAGTGTTTTGAATTGTGTTGTTTTATAAAGGTTATGTAAATAACTTTATGCACCATGTACATCATTTTCATTTGAGCTGCATCTCACCTTATTTGGAAAATCAACCCCACTGTTCCCCTTCTATATTTCAAATAGTGTACAACAAGTAAATGAAAGCATGCCAGGCTATGTTTTGATCTGCATCATTCCAGAAAAACATCAGCAGAATGTCTGAAAAATCAAGGTAATTTTTATTTGCCGGAAAGAAAACAAAGTATATATGGAGTATATATTTTTTTTCCAAAATTTAAAACTTGGGAAGTCCTTTCCACCCACATCTGTTCTTATGAGGCCTGCCTGTGGTTGTCAAGGACACAAGGACCTTACAGGTGCCGCCCATGGATCTTCAACTTGGATTTACAGAAAGGCCCGAACTTGCTTCACTTTCCCTGTCAGGGCCAGGCAGCAGTTAAAAAATAGGGCTAGAGCAACGAAGGGACAGCACTCTCCACAGCAGCAGGTTGTTATCCCAGTGAGTGGCCAAGGAAGTGTGTTGGTACTGACAGGGGTGGGTAGCTGTAAGGCAGGGGATGCTGATAAGTGTGACATGCTGTGAGTGTCAACACTCCTTTGGATTGGTGTTTATGGGGTTTGGGCCCCAGCCCGTTTCTGCTTTAAGCTCCCCAGAAGGTTCTGGACCCCTTTCTTCACACTGGATCCCACTCGACGAGCCACTGAGTCAGCAGGAGGGGCAGGGAGGCAGTAGCTGGAGCTTGTGCTGGGTGGCCGCGCGTCCAGACACTTCTGGTACCGTAGCTGAGGACAGAGATTCGGAAAGGACAAAGTAAGAGCCAGGAGACTAGGCTAAGGAGGCAATATGAACTCTGAGACATTCAATCAGGCTAGAACATGGGATTTGGTATTAGGCAAGTGTTGCCAAGAAAACCAACTGGACATTTATTGATTCTAACTCCCCTCACAGCAGAAAGAAAATGAGAAAAATATAAGGAAAATGCATGCCAGTAAAAATAAGAGTGGAATGGCACATAAAACCATACATACCTCAATAAAACTAAATCTACCTGGTACTTATGGATGTGAAAAAAGGGATACAAAACAGAAAATTAAACAAGCAGATTCCCTTTTCTTTCAAACAGAAGGGAAAATATCAGAGGACATGCTTTAAACACCCATCACACTGCTGTGCTGCTTACAAAAACTATAAAGAAACTTAGATGCCAGCTTTTAGACACGGTTAACTTCACCCCTGTAAGAATGGTATAGAACATCTGGCTTTGTCTGACCTAAAGAGAATATGATGGTGAAACTGGATTTTATTTAGTCATTCTCTCTTTGTTTCACTGAAATGAAGTAAAAGCTGAACTGGGTACTGTGTCTTGAGAAAAGGAATCAAGATTGGTTAGAGAAATGTTGCAAAAGGGTAAGACGTAAAACCCAACTGTCTTGGTCACATGTTCAGTCTGTACTCACCATGCATGCTGCCTGCACAGCCTCCGAGAGACTGGCTGCGTTGGGCTCGCACCAGAACATGTGGCAGATGAAGTTTCCTGGACCCTCTGCCATGATGAAGGCAAATGTGTGAACATCCTTCCCCACGCCCATGAAGGACAAGAACCTCACACGGCACTCTGAGAGCACCTCCTCGGTCTGTTGTAGAGAGATAAGAATTAAATATTTGCATGGCTGTGGAATCCCATACTGTGCACTAGCAGGGGAGAACTATACTACTGCTAGCGGTGGCCACACTTTTACATATTGTACACATTATTCACCCGTGTTTGAAAATTGAGAACTGGTTGAATGAAACATGGTCTTGTTTGTATTGAGAGAGAATGGAGACTAGGGAAAGGAGAGAGCAAGAGAGTGTGGCATTGAAAAAAGAGAAATACATGGAGTGGGGTGAAAAGGGTTTATGTTTGAGCTTTGGGGACAACAGGTTAGTTCTTTATTTTGATAAATGCTTCTGTTTTGTTTATTAAACAAACTGTGAATAAACCCAGGAACCACCAGGACCTCTGAGATTACATAAGTGTTGGAGTTTTCATGTGCGAAGGTCCCCTGAGCCATGTGGACTGAGGCTGGGGTCTTCCACAGTAAGTAAAGCTCACATCATCAGAGAGTAAATGACAGAGGCAATTTTGTACGAGTTACCTCAGCAGCAATGACTGTGACTGTGGCTGATGCCACATTAACCGTTACTGGTGTCCACTCATGTTTCTCTTTGGTGTTCAGCACCGTCTCCAAAGCCACATTAATGATATCCATACCTAGAAACCACAGACGGTAGGTACACAATTAGTGATTTAAAACAGTGCATTATGCCAATGCCATAGAAGTGCTTCGAAAATCTCTATAGCTGTGTAATGCTTCTTCCAAGGTTTCACTACTATTCAGTTTTAATAAGTTTTAATAACTAACTTACAGCATGAAACCCAGTTAAAGATATTTTAAGTAATTTATCTTAAAATCTGTAAAATGGGTCTAGGTTCTTTTGCAAGAATGACACACTGGGTATGTTACTTACATTAAATTTAATTTAAATGCCATGTCCCCCATGTTCCTAGAGGGCAAGGTTAAGATGATACAGGACACAGAGCCTAGAGCAGTTCTGAAGAGGCGAAGAGTGCTTATATGCCTCACTGCTGTCCTGATTGACTGTGTACCACACTTCTAAAGTCAAAGTCATAAGCTAAGACTTTTTGTTTTTGAGTTTTGTTGTAAGTTAGGCTCTATACATGTTTACATCCTTTTATCTATTCAGTAAAAAGTGCTGCAGTTCCTGCTGCTATCACAGCTGTAGCTTTCACTTACACTAAAATATAATATGCTATAATTGTCTTCTTTTAACCTAAAAGTCAAATGTTTTGCAGTGTTCATTTCATGACTGATCAAAGAGTCAAAGACTTCATTCAGATTACACTGCATCCATTTAACCTGAAACAGTGAACCATTTGCTCATGTTCACACTCATGGGACTAAGAGGTTCAAATTCTCTGTTGGCTAAAAGTCAAACTGTTCCTTTCATCTCTCTATGCATTTTCTCCACAACACTTCCAAGGGTGTTACAATTTGCTGCTCAGTAACAAAGCTTTAGGAGAGGATTTAATATAGGGTTCCAGAGACATCAAGAGAAGACAATGCTCCCTGTTATCACTCTGTGGTCCACAAGCACTACAGGACTCACTTCTGAAAGAGAGGTGGCATTTTTTATGCTGCCCTTCTTGTTCACTCCCAATATGAACTTCCTTTGAAAGGCCCTATTTAATGAGAACTTTAACGAGTTGCACTTGCACAAGGGATTTAGAAGACAGTGTTTGTAGACACAATGCAAACCAAAAGCTATCAAAATAGCTTAGTCAATTAAAGCACAGTGGGATGAGCAAGATTAAAACCAATGAAGATTCAGCATTTCCTCTAAAAGCATCTGTGCATCTGGAACATAAAACTAGACAATTTACAAACTGGAAAGGATATGAATGATTCAGGAGTGGTGCCAGAATAGTTGTGTGATACACTGCTTGCACATTTAAGGTCCCCTTAACATTTATGCAGATAGCTTATTCAGTGCTGGTGCATGTAGCCGCACACGTGTCAAGCCCATGTGTCCCAGGATACCAGAAAACCCACACCTCTCAAGACAATTCACTGCAGCTCACGAGAGACAGGGAAATGAACCTATTAAAACTGCACCTCAATAAAATTGACTGGCTCCTGCCTGCAGCACAAGCCCACAGTACAATGGCATGAGCCTGTGGTTTAAAATATTAGTGCAATGATAATCTACTTCAAGAACAACCTGAAGCTATTGGCAACTGTCACTTTTTGCTTGTCTGTTGAGGCAAAATGTATGTAACAATTTTTCTGAAGCAAGTGCTAAATACCTGTGAATATTTATAGCTGACCATTGAATGTGCACAAAGCTAAGACGTGGTTTACCAATGCAAGTGGAAACTCATACACTATTGGCTGCTGTTGATTTGCTAAAACACATGTAACACATGTAAATAAGGAAACTCCCCTAAAGTTCAGCCCATGCCCAGCACTAATATAAACTTAGCAGGTGGGCACTAATGCTACCTAGTTTGCCCACATGAGTGCCTAATTTTGTGTTAGGGCTGTAATGTTCACTCACCTGCAGCATGTCTTGGTGTGGGTTTGCCCTGGAAAACCAGGGCATGCTCACAGTTTTTGCAGGGCTTATCGCTGTGACCAGACCTTCTTGCAGCCCATCCTGCTAATTACCAGTCAGGACTCTGCATCATTCCATTAATTATTCCATTGTCCTTTCTTCCCTCTAAATTCCAGAAGCCCCTCTGCTGCAGTGCTTCATCATTAATATCTTCCATCCCACTCTCCGTCTGTTTCTCTTGTGCTGACTCCTCGGCAACTTTGTCCTGAACCAGCTTTCACTGTCAGTAGTTCACTTCTGCCCGGAACCCTTCTGCCCAGATCTTTCTCCCGCTGTTTCACACCCATTACCCCAGCTTCATCTCCATGTAGCTCCATCAATCTGGGATTGCAGAGTTAGTTGCAGACTGCCTTCCCTCAGCTGTCAAAGCAGCTTTCACTGCAAGTAGTCCACTTATGACTTGACCTCAGGGCTTCGCCCAGCTGTTTCACCTTCATTGTTAACCCGGCTTCATTTCTAAGCAGCATCATTCGTTTAAGTTCATAGAGCTCGTCGCAGACTGTCCTTATTGTACTGCTGAAACAGCCTTAACTCTCCTCAGTCCATTGTCATCTGGAGCCTCATATTTCTCTCCATTCTGTCTATTTTACTTCTTTCTCAAGCACCTTTAATCGCCAACATTAAATCGCCCAGAGGAACAGAGACCGGCTCAGACCCAGTCTCAGGAGTTTTAGGCATCCTTCCTAACTCGGTCTTAGGCAGCTCTATGGTGCACGCTGGTCTGGTCTCGAGTGGAGACTCCCCAAGAGCATGCATTCCATTTTAATTGGCAATGGCATGTCTCTCTTCACTCCTGAGCCACTTTCTAGCACCCCAGGAGACTTCTGAATTCCAGGATTCAAGGGGAATTCTTTCCTTAGGAGCCTGAATATAAAAATCCGCTCCAAAGCCATGAGAGTATCAACCCAGTGGCCAAAGCTTCCCGACTGTGATTGACTTCTGTGGACAGTTTCACTAATGGCTGGCATTGTGCTATGCTCTTTTTTCTACCACAAAAGTGAGGTGGCTTTTCCTCAGACGCACCTCAGCCTTTTTTTCTTGCTGACTGATGGAGGCCATAATTATATATGCTAAGCTCTACCAGCCATTATGTAATCATTTAATTATAACCTTTTCCCCTTTTAATTTTTCCTCCATCTTTCCGGACTGCTTGATCCCTGTACACTTAGATCTCTTCGGGTTTCTCCTCAACTCTCCAGATATTTGGATTCTGAACAATCACACCCATGTCTGTGCATGTGTGTACAGCCATGGCATAACAAGGGCTTTGTATAAGTTCAGCTGGCACTGCTGCAGACAGTCTGTTCCCAAACTGGAAGGGGTCTGAGTGAAGTTTTGTTCACATTATCACTTAACCTTTAACCCTGTATGACCAGTGCTGGTCAGACTTGCTCATCTCCTGAAATACCACTCTAATAGGATCACTCATAATCGTCAACAGTCTATGAAATGTAAGTAAAAGCATTCCTTACCACAGGTTTCCTTACCTACAGGTTTAGCCACAGGAACGCTGCCTAGATACTGGACTTGAAACCACTGCACTAGCTCATTCTTTGGAGCAGGAAATTCTAAATCCAAGAAAAACAGAACAGTTTTACAAACAACAAAAAGACAAGGGAAGATTTATACTTAACGACTTTTTGATATAAATCTAATTGTGAAAAATAATTTCTACAGCTGAATATGTTTAAAAAGAGGCTATCAAATAATGGAGGTTACCTTGAAAGGGGATGTCCACCAGTTTGGAAGGATCAATGTTCATTCTGTTCAGATATGATTTGGAGGACTTTCTCTCGGCCATGATCTTAATCACACAAAACAAATCATAACACGTAAACACTCATAGTCTAAAAATGTAAGCTGCTGAAATGCAACACAGAATTGCAGCCTTACACCTCTATCTGCAGAAGCAGATGAAAAAGCGACAAACAGGCAGACACACAGTCTGTCCAGTAAATCCCAGGTTAAAATGCAGTACCTACAATAATTTACCCAGTGACTTCATTTCCTGGACTGTATTCACTACAGTACATATTAAAACACTTAACTGGATATTTTGATTACATTTTGGCACGTTGTAAAAAAAGAATTATCAATCAATACATACCACATCATCCTAGTTTATAAACATGTAGAGAAAGACGCATGAAAGATGCTGTATAAAATAATACTTCTAAAACCCTTTTTTCTTCCATTGTTATACCATCACAAAACATTTGAAGAAATATTTGGCTAAAAAATTAATTTTCAACACAGTGCTGGAAAAGACTTGTATTTGAAGATGAGTTCATTCCTGAATATACTGAAAACAAAATGCCAGAAAGATCCTCATAGAGTGTATGTTACTGTTACCATATATCTGATGAACAATACATTTTGGCCTCCACAACAGTTTTCAGTTGCTTTGCTCAGTACTTTTACACACTCCTACCTTAGAGCAGATGTCATGCATGCTGGTGGCAATGTTCTTTGCTGGAGTGTCACATCTGAACACATGGCATTTCAAAACATGGGTCAGTTTGTCTCTTGCTACATAGGCAAAATCCCTGAGGGTGAAAAAGAACCTAATTAACACAGGAGCGGAAAGGCATGTACTTGACCCTCACTGCAGTTTTTGAGGTATGGACAACAGAAGGGGTATCCCCGTGAACATATGTTTGCTGTTTGATATTTATGCTTCCATTTGAAACCTTTTTTGTCACAGTAACCCATGTAATTAATTGGTAATAAACTGTCAAAGTTGTCAACAGCATTTTGACTAACCCTGTAGTTTCTTTGTGCACTGAAAACACTATTTACTATCAACATATTTATATCACATAAGTCAAGGGATCCAACTGTAGCAGCTGCTAGTATTGACATTGGTTTGCTGCTGTCCTGCATAACTTTAATGTTAACCACTATCTCCTGAACTGGTACACTACAGAAATGGTCCCTGCATGAAACAAATTCAATCATACTAGTGAAGGCAGAATCTTTGGTTTAAAAATTCTGTAAAATACAGTGTCAAAGAGTTAAACTTATTGAGATGAACCTTTAACAGGAACAGAAGATGGACTTACTGATGCCAAGGATATCCTAATTCTGCTAGGAAAGAAACAGGATCTTATGTTTTCGTTGCAAAATAATTCATTATAATGAACTATAATTTATCTTGATATGATCTTGATAGAGTCCTTCATTATATGCTAAACACTCATGTCAGTATTTATCTCTAGAAATCTTCAGCTGTTGAAAACAATGACAATGACCTGTTTATATATTAGTCAAATTGAAGGTTTGATTTAGTAACCAACAGCACAGTCAGAACTACACCCAGAAGGGCCCAGAAGAGGATCTTCTCCTGGATCAGACTTGGGCCTGCCTGAGGCAGGCGGCTGGTGTGTACAGCAGCCTTGATTGGACTGCACCCCCTATGGGCATGCAAAAGTGAGAGAGCAGCTAGCTTTACAGGGTCACCACAATAATGCCACAGCTAGCACAGAGTGGAGTGGATGTGATGAACAATGGGCAGTTAAGACACAGTGATTGATATATATACACTACCTCTCCCTTTGTCCCATATCGCAGAGCAATAAAAAAGTGGAAAGAAATAATTAAAAGTTAACACATGAATATTACTGTAAACTGGTTAAGGCAACAGCTCCAAATTTCAAGTTTACCCCCCAAGGCTTCGCGATGATGCAAAACTCGGAAGGAATCTTCTCAAATAAATCAGAGCAGAAATTTAATTAAAAAAACATTTTTTTAATGTTCCTTGGGTGAAGAATTATACTCTTAAACCTGATCTGCAAACCTCAGAAAAAGAGTTCGCACATTTTTGGTTCATCCACTAGGTGGCAGTAAAAGGCCAATGGTGTGCAAATATCTTGGAAATTAATTTATGTAAAATAGCCAAATAAAAGGAAGTTTATCAGGGTACAAGACTTTGGAATTTCATATTTTTTCTTCAAGTAATGTTACTCAGGGGCCTTTAGACTTCTCATTGCTATATGGTACATGCTGTAATTACTGAGCTGTATATATACTCAATCCTACAAGTAACTTGATTTCTTTCAATGTGGAAATAAAATTTCCCTTATGTATGTATTTAACATTCTAGAAAGTACAAAGTTTCTCTTCACAAATATCATTCATTAAAAGTGTTGATCTGTTGAAGGCACCTGTTCTGCCTCTAACACCCACCTGCCATTGTCTCTGCCCACTCCCCAGACACGGATGCTGACAATGGGCTGGGAGTGCAGTAGGGTCTGACTCAAAGGGTCAATCAGATTAAGGGTCTCATTCTCCAGGACCAGCAGCATATCTTTGCCCTGCACATAAAAACAAATGTGCACTTAACGCTCACAGAAGCCAAGCAGGACTGACTTGTTTTCTGCATGAGGAGATAGAAGATATTAAAAAGAAGTGGAAGTTGTGTGCTTGATTACAAATGCTGTTGCACACCTGCAGCTCTGTACAGCACCCTGGCTTTAGTATTCCATACATCTCCCATCTGTCAGAAATCTCACCCTTGTCTCAGTCAGTATAATCTCAGGAGCTGAACATTGTTTTGAAGAACAAATAGTACATAAACCAAGAAGAAAAGATTCTGTACGGTCAAAAAATCTTAAAAAAAACAAAAATGACTGCTACTAAATAGCCAATACTACAGACAAATGATTACAACAATTGTGTTGATTAACAATTGTGTTGATTTTATTAACGATAAAATCTGATATAAATGGGCAACACTCATAAAAGTCACTCTTACTAGTTCCTGCCTTCACCACACAGTAATAACAAGTAACACAGATGTTTTTGCATGTTTTGAAAATTAAGATACAATCACAATTACAGTTGAAAGAAAAAGTTTGTGAATGGATTTCACATGGTTTCACATGATTTATATGGATTTCTGCATGAATGGCTCCTAAAATGTGATCTGATCTTCATCTAAGTCATAATAATAAATACAGTCTTTATAAACACAGACAACATTTTATATTGCCATATCTTTATTGAACAAATGGTTTAAACCAATGGTTCTCAAACTTTTTGGACCATGTGCCACCCCTGATCAAACCAAAGCATTCGAGTACTACCTACAAGTCATCTTCTCATAGGAACCACATAAAATCTTAATGACCAACATGAACATGTGCACGCACACACATATATAATAAAAATAGCACTGAGCACCACTTCAGTGAGAGGGGTAAGCCTGTTTAGTGTAGCAAAGCTTTTCAAAGTCAGGGATGAGGGCAGTGAGCTTTAAAATTTTGTTGTGGTACTTTGTCTTGATTGCAGTGAGAGCAGAGAAGTATTTATCACAAAGGTAGGTAGCAGCAAAAGGCATCACAGCCTTTAACGAGGGGGCTGGGTATTCACTGTGTCATTGGATCCAGAAATCCAACAGTGACTATCGTTTCAATTCTGACATTAAAGTCGCATCAAATGATAACTTACACAGGTCAGATCCTTGGGTATTCCTAGGACATCAACAGTAAAGGAGTTCCTCATCCACCCTGGTGTGGCCTCAACTTGAAAATACTCTGAGAACTGTTCATCCAATGACAAGAGGTGGACTGCAATCACATAACGAACAGCAGCATCAAGTGTCACACCATATGTGTGCAGATACTTCTCCAAAGTTTGGAAAGCAGAGACATCACTTGCTTTGGTTTTATTAACAAAAAGCTGCAACTTTTTCTTCATAGCAGTGATCTTGTTAGACACATCAAAAATAGTTAAAGAAAGCCCCTGCAGTCTCATAGTCAGCTCATTCATATGTGTGAATATTATCAGCCAGGTAGGCTCATTTTACCAGCCACATTGGATCATCAAATAGACTTGCCAAGGGAGATTGCTGGTCATGTAAAAACATTTATACCTCAGAGTACAGTTCAAAGAGCCTCGTGAGCACTTTGCCCCTTGATAACCATATCACTTCAGTATGTAGCAAAAGCTGCACATGTTCGCTGCCCATTTAATTACAAAGGACAGTGGACAGTCGTGAATTCATTGGTCAAGGTCAAGCCTTGATAGAGTTCACAACTTTGACAGCAGAGTCTAACACAGATTTTAAATCCTCAGGCATTTTCTTGGCTGCCAAGGCCTGGCAGTGGATGCTGCAGTGCGTCCACTTCACATCTGGAGCAACCTCTCTAATTTGTGCAACTACACCTCTGTATCTGCCTGTCATCGCTCTATCTGTACAAACTCTGATGAACTTTTTTGGAGTCAATGTCATTATCTTCGATAAATTCATTCGGAAGCTGAAATATGTGTTCTCCTGTAGTTCTTATTGGTAGCACCTTGCAGAACAGAAGCTCCTCATGGGACATGCCCTCAAACTCATATCCAACCTAAATGAGCAAACTAGCCAAATCAACAACATCTACCGAGTCATCTAACTCTGTTGCAGTGAAAAGCATCTGCCCATCTTAATGAGCTCTGTCTGCGTACTTTTGACATCATCTGCCATATCAATAATTCTCTGACTGTGTCATTCGAAAGGGCCACCAGGACAAGCTGTTTAGCAGCTTTTTCTCCACACTTACTACACGTCAGCTCTTTTGCCAACGGTAAACAAAGCTCTTCACCAATAGTGTGGGGCTTACCTGCTTTAGCAATCTTGCAAGTTTGCATGGTAAGATTTGCTTGGGCTTTGGAAACTGGAGTGACACTGTCTCAAACTCAAACTAACCTAGAACAGTCCTTAAATATTTGTTTGTTATCTATCACGCTTTCCTGTGCCTACAAGATTGGCAGTGTTCCAAAATCACACACATTCTCCTGCCTCCCTATTTGCTAAAGATAAAGTATTTTAATACAATTGGTCACTTAGGTTCGTAGCACACATTCCTATACAATGGTCTAGAATTACATAGCAGTACTTGTGTCTACTCAAGTATTAGCGCGCTGTGTTGTCTTAGTTAAGTACGTAAGCTGCGTATTTGACACAAACGAATTTTATTAAAATAGAAATTTTGAAAACCCATCCCAATCTTTCAGTGCACACACCAAAATTTCCAGGGTCATCTGGCGTTCCACCTGCAGGCGCTTCGCGTACCACAGTTTGAGAACCACGGATTTAATCAATCAAGGCCATTGATGAAAAAATATGTGAACCCTTCTAACTTAGCCACTAGTGGAACCTCCTTTGTTGGCAATAACCTCTACCAAACTTTCTGTAGCTGCTGATCAGACCTGCGCAGTGGTTAGGAGGTATTTTGGCCCATTCCTCTATACAAAACTGTTCCAGTTAATGTATACTTTTGGAATGTCTTGAATGGTTTGCTTCAGATCACGCCACAGCATTTCAATGGGACTGAGGTCAGGTCTCTGACTTGGCCATTCTAAAATATGGAATTTCTTCTGTTTGATCCACTCCATTTTTGATTTACGCTTGTGTTTTGGATCATTGTCATGTTGCATTACCTAACTTCTTTTGAGTTTTAGATCACAGGCAAATGCCCTGACATTCTGCTGTAGAATTTTCTGATATCAACTTGGAATTCATTAGTCCCTCAATGATTGCGAGCCGTCCAGGTCCTAAGGCAGCAAACCAGCCCCATATCATTATACTCCCTCCACCATGCTTCTCAGATGGTTTTGGTGTTGTTATACAGTGTTTTGTTTTCTCCAAACATAACTCTGTGTACATTTACCAAAAAGTTCAACTTTTGTCTCATCTATCCAAAGAACATTGTTCCAGTAGTGATGTGGAACATCCAGGTGGTCTTTAGCACACTTGAGACAGGCAGCAACGTTTTTTTTGGAGAGTAGTGGTTTCCTCCGTGGTAATCTCCCATGAACACCACTCTTGTTCAGTTTTCTTCTTATGGGAGACTCATGAACACAGACGTTATCAAGTGCAAGAGATGCCTGCAGATTCTTAGCTGTCACCCTAGGGTTCTTTGTCACCTGTTTGAGGATTGTACAGCATGCCCTTGCACTGATCTTTGTAGGACTCCCACTTCTAGGGAGAGTAGGAACGGTGCTGAATTTCTTCCATTTGTAAACTATCTCCCTGACTGTGGACCGATGGATGCCCACGTCTTTAGAAATCCTTTTCTAACCCTTTCCAGTCTTATGAGCTTCAACAACTCTTCTTATGAGGTCCTCTGAAATCTGTTTTGATCAGGCGATATTGTACTTCAACAGAATTCTGTTGTGAAGAGCAGGTAACCAAAAGTGTGTGATTTTTTATACAGAAGGGCAGGTCAAACCCATATCTGAATTGACTTGAATACCTGACTCCAATTACCATCTTTTCAAGATGTCATTATCCTAGAGGTTCACACACTTTTTCCATCAATGACCTTGATTGTTTAAACCATTTGTTCAATAAAGACATGACAATGTAAAATGTTGTGTGTGTTGTTTGTTAAATAAGACTGTCTTTATTTATTATTATGACTTAGATGAAGGTCAGATCACATTTTAAGAGCCATTCATGCAGAAATCCAGATAATTCCAAAGGGTTCACAAACTTTTTCTCACAACTGTATATACATTACACAAGCAAAGACACTTGGTGTAAAACAGCAAAATGCAGACAAAAGTAGAACTGGGAAACCCAATACGTTCTGTCCTGGACATACTGCTGCAAACACTTGAAACACAGCTTCAGCGTCACTATTGCTGGGTTTCAGCCTGTGACTTGACATGAGTTCAAGCCTGCAAAGGGCTGCACAATGTGAAGAGAGAAGAACACAGAATAACACTGGTGACACGTCTGTATCAAAAGGGAAACAGGCTTGTGGTCAAGTTAAATTGTCATGCTTGGAAATGCAATTGAGCCGTTTTAACCACATGAAAGGCAATAACCTGTGTGTGTTTATACAGTGTTGCAAATTGAATGCATTGTACTTTGGTACTTGAACTGGACTTTGCACAGCTGCTCAAGCTACTGTACCTCAAGGGCATGAAACACTGGCTTGGCATTGCAACTGTATCCTGTCAGACACTAGGCAAATAATTTGAAGGCTACAGTGACTGGTTATAACCTCAAAATAAAATCCAGTCTGTCCCAGAAGAAATGAAAACCAAAATAATCCCCTCCCCTCCCCACCGCCACCTCACCTCTCCCCAGATGCCAGCTGTGTCATGCAGGTTGTGCTTGTGGTAAGAGAGCTGACGGATACAGTTATTGACTGCAATGCTGCTCTTGCCCAGGGACATGTCCTCCTCAGACATCTCCACCCAGCCCAGAGAGCGGACTGCAAAACACTGAAGAACAGAGACACAGCAGGGAGTCAGCAGGGAAATGAAGCTTTCAAAGCTAAATTTAATCTCGCTCTACATGCCAAAACCTCAAGAATATTTAAAGCATTTCTAGAACGAACCTATATAAAAGCAATACTACAAGGATTGCAAGTTAAAAATAAAAAGTTCTTTGAAGTATTACAATTGCAGAAGAACAGCAAAGGATGAAGTAAAATGTACAGTGTCTATAGAAAGTCTACACATTCTTTCCAAAGTAAAACACTATGGACTAAAAGCCTGAAATCAAGAGACAAAATTTATTTTACCTTTAGTAACATATTTTAACACACAACTTCCAAGTGAAAAAAAAGCTTAAACAGGCTGAAAAGTAATTACAAAATACAAACCTAGGAAATTGATTGGATAGGTGTACACACCCCTTAGTAACAGTAATTGTAAATTATCTCTTGTGTAGCCAACTGCCTTCTAAATCACACAACAAACTAATTTGCCTCCAGCTGTTTCAACTATAGTGATTCTGATCATTTCAGGATAAAATTAACAGATCCTGTAGGTCTGTAGGAAATGCATCTCAAAATAAAGAGTCAACTATGAGGAACAAGGAGCTCTGGGATAAAGTTGTGGAATGGCACAGAACAGGAGATGGATGTAAAATATTTCAAAGGCTTTAAATATCCCTTGGAGCGTGGTCAAGGTTATTATTAAGAAGTGGAAACTATATGGCACCACCAAGACTGAATAACCAATTAACAAATAAACTTATAAGAAAGGCTATCAAGAGGGCAAAGGAAACTTTGAAAGAGCTACAGGCTTTTATGGCCAAGAAGGGTCTAAAAGTGTGCATGTGACAAAGTGATACTGAAAACATGTGGTAAAATGTTTCTTATCAGCAGGAAATGGGACACTTGTCAGTTTATAAGGGAAAATGAATGGAGCAAAGTACAAAAACGTCCCAATGGAAAACACGTTGACTTCTGCAAGAAACTGAGATGAAGTCACCTTTCAGCACGACAACGACCCAAAGCACACAGCCAAAGCAACAACAGAGTTGGCAAATAACAACAAGTTCAATGTCTTCGATTGGCCCAGTCAGAGCCCTGACCTCAATCCATCTGAGAATCTGTGGAATGACTTGAAAGTTACAGTCCAAAAATGACCCCCCTTCCAATTAGACAGAGCTTGAACAGTTCTATAAGGAGAAATGGCAAGTAGGTAGCTGTGTCAGCATGTGTAGGCTGCAAAGGAACAAGTAAAGGTTTATTCCATGTTGAAAAAAGAAGAAAAGAAACACAATGTTTCGGCTGAGTCATCTTCTGGTGAAGAGGGCTTTGGCCATCTTCGGCCTTCTTCTGCCAAATCTAGATGTGCGACACTGGTACAGACCTATCCTCTTTACAGAAAGTACAGTTAAACAACTACAGGTTAGCAAAAGGTGTTTCCATCAAGTACTAACTCAGGGGTTTATACATCTAAGAAAATGTATGTTTGCATGTTCTTTTACACACAGAGGTTGTGTATTACAATGTATAAATAAATCTTAAATAAAATTCTGATTTAATGTGTCTTGATTTCATACTAGTAAGCTAAAATATATTACTTCAGAAAGGGTGTGTAGATTTTCTATAGACACTGTATCTGTATAGCCATATTTACCCAAACATAAGCTGCAACCTTTTCCAAATTTCAGGGTGGTAAAATTGGTCTGCAACTTATATTTGAAAACATGTAAAAAAGTCAGGAGCTGATCTGTTGACAAATTTACCACCAGAATGCTAAACAGTGTTAAATTGTTTACTCATACTTTAACTGACCTCCATTTTTCTTGGTTCCGATCACATTGTTGCGATCAAGTGGAAAAAAAAAACTTTTACAGTGCCTAGCAAAAGGGTTCAGACCCTGAATGTTCAAATGAATGTTGGTTTATAAACGATACTTTACAAATCTTTTCCAATCAGTATTTGAAAATGGAGACTCTCTGATCTGCAAGAACTAAAGTTCCCTTAATGAAACAAACTACTTGCTTAAATAATCAATAATTGACAAGTGGTGCTAGTTACAAAAAATAGTTATTTTGGATGACCTACAAGGCAGACCTCCAGGAGCAGTGTTTGAGGCACTAAAACTAAGAATTTAATCCTTTTGAGTTGTGAACAAGAGTCTTCAACAAGGAAAACTACAAAATTTCAAGTATACAAAATTCTCAAAGGCACTGACAGTGCCTGAGTTGTTCTACAGGACCTGCAGTGAAACATAGACCAGACAACAGTACACAAAAGTGTGTTTGAAACTGAGAACAGGAGGCACATCTTTGCACAGAATTTAGCATTTAACAGGCTACTGGGGCCTGGATGGCCTCCTCTTCTATCAAATCTTTATGTTTTCCAATTGATAGCACTCATCTGAGTAAAGACAATTCATTTCTAGATTTCAGATAGTAATGTTAGAAATTGAAGAATCTCAGTAAAAGAAAAACTGTTTGTAGAATTAACATACTAGGCTGAAATATGCACTAAAAAGGGTGTTGAATATTAATACCCTATTTGTACATAGTGTGAGCATACATTTCCTGCCTTTGTTGAAATATTTTATAATGCACTTGTTTTATTGGTGATTATTACAGATGTGCAGAATATTCCTGGGATCTCTTGGATTACCCTGAGTTATGCTAGACTAGCATGAATTGATGGTATTTTTGGTACAAAAGACCAGGCTGGTATTAGCCTCTAGTACCAGAATTCACCTGCAGTGCTGACTGTTCTAGCCAGGTAGGAGAAAAAGTGTGTACCTTTGCTTCCACATCACTGCTCAGAGATCTCATCTTGTCCTCTTCTTCTGTCTGCGATGTGCTGAAAAAAGAAAAACTACACCATCACTTTGTCACATGAGTTAACAGTGATCTTACTCTTTTAATCTAAATAAACAAACTCAACCCTTTTTTTCTGGAGCAGCAGATTTGACAAAAGGAAGATTAAAAGCATTCCAAAAGGCTAAATGTTCACACTGGAATTTTTGAAAACCTCAGCTCTGAAGAGGTTACCAGGCAATTTAATGCTGTGTCTAGTAAACTATTAAAATCTCCAGCAGAGATTCTACAAGCAGGACTGGAATTGGTATAACCCTTCCTTAAACTTTAAGGAAAAAAAATATGGATGTGTCATGGTCTCACACAGTATCACTGAATTCAAACTCACTATAAAAGCCTTCATTTCTGCTGGTCTACAGCTCAATTTTATGTTACTTGCCTATTCATTTCCTTTATCAAAGCAAAAAGACCAGTTAAAAAAGCACAAGGTTTATATAAATGTTATATATAAATGGGTTTGGTTTTTTAAACAAGTCTAGAAAAAAAATGATTTTCTTAAACACACAATGGACACCCAGCTAGCAGAGAGGTTCTATGTCCTTAACATTTCAATCTCTATTTTTAAACTGCAATTGGTTTTGCGAAGAAATATTCATGAATTCGATTACATTTTTCTACACCTCTATAAAGACATTCCAAGAACAAAACACGCAAGTTAATGCCAATCCACTCTGAATCAGCACAGCCTACCCAAGATTGATGGAAGCGTAACGCAGTGTTGCCCCTTCAAACTCCTTCAGGCTATGGTCAGAAGACTCATCATCAGCATGTAGGTCCTGCCAAAGACAAGTTCAAAGTTTTTCAACTCCCCATACAGTCAACCAGAGGGCTCCAGAGAGACAGGCATGATCTAGCACTGACATAATATTTTCTGGTCAACTCCATATTGAATTTTTAAAGACCAAAATTAAAACTAAGGTTATGAATGTTCTCCATATACATACCATCAAGGAACATACTATTTTAACATAATTTTAATATTAACATAGTTTTATTTTATAGTCCTCTAATAATGGAATGGCAGCCACTGCTGCAAGCCTTGTGGATGCATTATCTCCTCAAAAGCATGCAGTCATCACCCACTCTTTTCCCCCAATACAATACTACAAGGCAAACAACAGACCTGGCTCAGCTCTCACTGAAAAGACTGAAAACTCACAAGCACCTAGTATCCTTCTCTATTCTTTATAACACATGGCAAGTCTTGAAAACCACAGCCAACATTAGATGCACCTACACCTGACATCAAATGTGCACACTTTGTGCGCTGCTTGGAGAATGCCAGACAAAGCTGAATACTGACAAAGTTCAACTGTGAGAAAAATCCTTCAGTGTCATCAATTCTTCTCACCTTCCAGAATTCCCCATCCTCAAACTTGTCAGGGCGGGAGAGGCCAGTCCACGTCAGCTGAATGAGGTTGCAGATGAGAGAATGCAGATACACAGGGGTGGACAGATTAACAAATGCAGGGGTTTGGAGTAGGATTGGTGGGCATGTAGGAAATGGGTAGGATTGGTGGGATATAGGCAAGGAAAGAAAAAGGTAATATGAGACCTTTCTCTTCATATATTCTTAGTGAAAGCAAGGGTTGACTGAGGGCAGGAATAAAAGAAACAGCACTGACTTGTTTGTTTCTAGAAAATAATATATTTGAAGCATTTAATTTATTTGAATTAAAACTACAGTATAGTTATACATTTAGTCTACTTTCCTAGGCCAGTTTTAAAATGTTTTAGTCAAAAATAAGGACTGAACGTGTTCATTTTATGATAACTATAACAGAGAAAGTTCTTTGGAAATTATAAAATAATACTCTTAACCATCGATATTGTTATCTACTAACTGATTCCTTCTGTCAATTTAAGCTAAACATTTCCTTGAAAAGATCACCAAAAGGTTTGACAAAAACAAAGTCAACATAGAATTTCAACTGATAATAGACTTTATTTGACAGTAGACAAATAGTGTCAACAAATAACCAATGCTGTGTGGGGAAAAAAGTAGACAACACTACATTCTCTTTAAAACTACAAGAGGAAGTTATAATGACTCCAACTGAAGGAACCAGCACTTAAAATGGCAGAACAAGTGTGTGAATCTGCACTGCTTAGCACTTTCTGAAAACAAAATCATCTGATTCACTAAGGAAGGTTTGGAAGTAGTCAGCCAGGGTTTTCCCAGCTCCCAGCGACACAGCAGCTTCCCAGGCACCAGCAGGCTTGCAGCCACGGTAGCAAGGGACATGCCTCTACTCCAGGTGAGACAGGACCTCCTAGTAAGCCTAGGTCACTATAGAGACTGTAGAGTCCCGAAAGATGAAATGGAGCTTTCTGCACTCCCTAACTCTCCCCATCTGAATGCAGGTAACTTTCCATTGTAGTTCAAAGATGAAATTGTCAGGTCCTAATGGTAGATAAATAAATTAACTGGCGATTACTTGTATCTTAAAAAGAGGAGAGGAATTCTTTATATTACTTGCTGGTAATAACTTGTGAACTGTAAATTATTATCTCTTCAAATGTCACCGTTTAATGCATATATGGAATAACCTGGCACCTACACAAGTAGGTCAATGCACAAGCTGCACAAGAAATTCAGAACAATGTGCTAATTGTTGGGCATAGTAGATGCTATTACTTGATCGATCAACCCAGTCTAGTCCAAGTGCAAGAGTATCTAGTCACCATGGAACTCTGTACTGTACTGAATGATAGCGACCTGACTGCAAGCGCTATAATGTTCATATCCTGTGACCTCACTTCCTGCAGTCTCATCTGGATGTGACATCCTTCCTGTAGGGAAAAACACATCCTTACACTAAGCAAGGAGCGATGGCTTTCTTGTAAGATGAGAATGAGTTATGCTATGGACAATTTACACACCAGACCTGAACCCCACTAAACATCTGTAGGATGAATTAGTGGGACTACTTGTAAAAACTAGGGCTCAGAGACTAGTGCACAGCCACCTGCTCACCCAGGAGGTACGAGAGAAATGGGACACAATACCACAAGATGACATCTGCAACCTGATGGAAAGCATGCATCACAGCTTTTGACTTGTGTTCAACAGTGGCCAAACACCATTCTAGCCTGTAACACAGTAGACTCACTGTATTGATTAATTCTGTTAATAAATGATGATCAGGATTAAGCATGAATTAACGTTTGTCATGTCTCTCAATAAAATGTCAGTGTTTCTACTAGAAAAATGTTTCGGTTATTTTCCTGATAGATTGGGAAGTCACAGATTTTTTTAAGGCAGGTTTAGTGTTGATGACACAGTCATTGGTTTCTGTGTTGTTAGCTATGGATCCAGATGTCAACCTCACCTAGAGATCAACAGCTGCCATATTTCCCTCACCTGCGTTTCCTCAGATGGTGTGGTACCTTGTGATGCAATGGAGGGTTTCCCAGAGCCCAGGCCTTCCTCCAGAGGGGAAGGGGGCTCCCACTGTGTGGTGCCAGTGGGAATGTGCCAGTAGTATGTTCCTGAAGTGTCTCGAACCCGCATCCAGCCCGCCGGCAAATCTGTGTCTGTCTCAAAGGCACTGCGGTTCCAGAAGGACTCTGCGAACCAAAGGAACAGTAAGAAGGTGTCAGACACAGGGACACAAGGCACAAAATCTTTATGGAGTCCAAAAACACATCAACATAAAACAGTCCCAGTTCCATAGAAAAGTAAAAAAAAATAGAGAATAATAGTGCTACAGTTTACTACCATCTATATCATGTAATAGGCAGCAGCAAATCCAAAGAAAGTTCTGTCTTTTTTTTAGTGCAGGTTGAACTCCATCATCATTCTAAATAGGATCTGGGTTATGTCACTAGCTGTGACTGGGGTACCCCGAACAGCAGCAGATAATTGCTCTAGTGCTGCCAAGAGCAGGGTAGGATTACTCGGCACACAGCTACCTGTGCAGCCATGAGGTGCTATTAAGAAGGGATATTACTCTGTAACAATCAGTTCTGAACCTCCGGTACAGGGCTGTGTTGCCTGTGACATGTTAAAAGATGAAGGGCTCAGAAATGAGCAGGTTACAGAAGTCTGAAGACAAGATTCTAAAATTGGTTGAGTATAACAAAACATAATTGGCAGTTCTCATTTTTTTTAAATTGTATAGAAGGAGGCACTGTAAAGGAAGAGTTCCAAATTAACTTTGTGTATTTGGCCAGGTGTTTTCTTTTTATTAAACTCTTCTCACTAACACAACCTGAGCACAAAGTTGAAGAATTATGTTTCCACTAAAAATTACTCGGCAGAGCTATGTAGAATTTTTCTGATACAAGTCCCAGAGTGCCTACAGGAAAAATGGAAGCAGAGGGAAGCAGAAGAAGGAATAACGCAGGTCTCGGTTACATCACAGCAAATCCACTGCACAAGCCTTAGACACTATAAAAAAGCTGGCCAAATATGCACTGACGCTGCCAAGTCTTGGCCAATGGCAGCACAGACCTGAACCAGCAATGTCTGGATAAGAAGTTGGAAACATTTTAACTACTAAAAGTGAAACAACAAGAATACAACTTTTATTTTCTGACTAACAGTGTAGGGGTTTTGTGAATTTACTGGCACAGTGTTTAATTGTAACAGTAAATTGCATGATTTGGCTATTAGGAATCAATCAGCAGTACAACAAGGGGTCTCCACAAGGATTCAGAGCACATGGAATGCATTTATACATAAAATGATTTGATTAATGATTAATGTGCGACACATTTATACATAAGAATCAAAGTATTTAAACAGTAATGGGAACTAGAATATGACAGTACAATTTCACATTTCATGTATAAAAAGAATATATATATATATAATGACTAGTTAAGTTGGGCACTTTTTGGGTAATTTAACCTTGTTTGAAATGGTTTAAAAACGCTAAGAATTTGAAAATTAACAATTGTGTTCTGACTGATTAAAAAACATTTAAATGAATGCAATGTTTACAGATTTAACTTAAAATTGTAATTATTTTAACGTGGTGTATCATATAAGTGTAGTAAATGAGAAGGTGAAGGCACCACTAAAATACTTAAATTGAACTTTTATGTACATTATACATTAATTTATTATTCAACTATAGTAGTACATAAAGTTAAAATAAATATTGTATGTATGCTTAACAAAGAAATCTTATACCATATAGAGTAAAATGAATTATTTTTTAACTTATCTAACCATGTAGTCTGTGCTTCTTGACATTTCTATGAACTTTGCAGCACTTTGTGTTTTAAGAACGAAGTATGAGCATAGAAAAATGTAAAAATGACATATACATCTAAAACATACAGTTATAAAGTACATTAATAACATATACCTTTATATGATACATAGCAATACGTTTACTAGGAATTTGCAATTTTGTATGGTGCTTTTTCATTTAAGTTGGGGAATTTATGTCCAAGTCTGTAATATACCCATGTTTATTAGTGCAATGAATGTGAGTGGTGGAAGTCTAAGCCTACATCAATTCACCAACATTTAAAGAAACTTAGAGATAAGTGCAATTTCTTCTTAAGCTACAGCTTAGGATAGATGCATTAATTCAAATGTTTTATACCCGTTTTTAATTAAAACCTACAACTAACTAGCTGATCAGTAGATGTTTGTAGATTCTTCAAGATAATGTAAGGCAAAGCTCAGTTCCAGACAATGTGTGTAGAAAAAGTTCCTACTGTACATTCTTGTGATAACAGATCAGTTATGTGACATTTTTAACCTGCATTTTCAGATGTCCTTATTTTACAGATCATCCCTTCTGTGGAAAAAATCTATTCCCATTCCAAAAACTGGCACGCTGATACCCACCATATTACAGAAACTCTTCGTTTACACGGAAACTCTGAAATAAATCCAATTTAAAATATAACTTAATTAGATGGGTCCTAGACTTCTTAACATGCAGGTCTCAATAAGTCTGACATTTACTACACTTCCACTGGATTACCACAGGGCTATGTCTTGTGACATCTCAATAAGTCTGTTGATGACACAGTTCTGGTCAAGTTATTAAAATACCCAGAAAAGCATGGGCTAATTCTAAATTATTTTAATAAATGTTGTAATTAGTTCTCTTTGACGTTAAATGTCTTGAAAACAAAGAACATTTCAAGAAAAATGCAACACCCCTCAAACCTGCTTTTATTAATGGTCAGACATTGTCAACAATTTGTAGTCTGGTCATTAATACAACGACAATTGGGACTGGAGTCATAGATAAACATAAAATGTGACAAACACTGTGAGACCAACAGATATTTCAAATAGTTGCTTTATATCTTGAAAAATGGTTTCATGTTCAATTTAAAGTTTCTAAAAAACCTTTTCACCTTTTTCTGTGTATGTACCTTACATAGGTAACGATCCGCTTATTGTTACTTTAATATTACATGAGTCCACTGATAAAGGTTAACACAGGACTTACGGTGGCCACTCAGAATGTGCAGTATTCCTTCCACATGTGTTATCTGGAACGCAGTGCGTTGGGTTATGTAATTCACTGAGATTAAAGATGAATTATTGTTAGGTGGCGCTTGTGGTGTGTTAGATGTTAGTGAAACAATTGCTTCATTTAATCTACTGTGCATGTTTAAATTCACTCAACGTGGAATATTAATATGGAATTGTATAACTAAAGGGAAATGTTGGTAGCTGACAACAAAAACAGAATTATAACATAATATATACCTAATGTATATACTGTATTACTTATATATTAAATAATATACTTAATGTCTGTATTATTTATATGAAGTTAATTGTACATAATAATTTAACTTTAAATTTTGATTATGAAAAATATATTTCACACATACTGTACTGTAGAGGCTTTAAAGCCATATGGCCTCATAGGTAATATTTAAAGTACACACAGTAGATGGTAGAGGTAGCTAAATATAAAAATAAAGTACACAACAGAATCCCACCTTCTTCATAAACATTGTATACATTAAAGTCTTAACCCTGTAACTTACAGTGGTTATTTTAGAAAATAATAATGTGCTTGTTCTAGCTATATAAAGATTATATAGTTCATAAAAAGCTATAATGTTTCATCCTCTTCTAAGAATATCGAATAAGAACATTGTACTTGCGGTTATTGCTGTTGTAAAAAAAGTTGTAGCACTGATTTAATACCATTTGATAGGGAACAGTAATATGGAATAATTTAAATAAAGAAAAGCTGGCAGCTAAAAATATCACTTGTAAATATTTTGATGTTAATTGTAATGACTTTTGCAGTCCTTATAATTGTAAAGGACAATAAAACTCTCATAGAATGTAATGTAGAATGTTGCGCTCATGTGATACTTTAGCACAGCAGTTTAGATGGCTTGCTGCTAATCAGCAAGTGACCAGTTCCATTCCTGGACAGACCATTTCAGCAACGAGTAATCAGGAAATAATGTAACTTTAAAATTTGATTATAAAAATATATATCACACAAACGATCACATTGCAGTTCATTGATGTGTACGCTACTGTTTCGGTATATCTGTGGATAAGATTTCATATAATTTGCATGTGTGGTAGTAAGCTAAGGAAACTTTGGCAATATCGCTCTGTTTATTCATAGATTTGTACTACTAAATAGAGTTCATCTCGATTGTCCTAGTACAAAACTGACAGTAAAAGAAACACAATGCATTCATTCAAAGCAAACTAAATGAGGTAAACCTGGCAATACCTCAAAGCTTTGTATGATATGTATGATAAATATGTGTACTATTAAGTATTCTGTGTACAAACTACGCATTGCAGGTAAATTGGGGTGGAGCGGTGGCTCTGTGGCTAAGGATCTGTGCCTGTGGCTAGAAGGTTGCCGATTCAAATCCCACAGCCGACAGAGGAATTCTACTCCGTTGGGCTCCCGAGCAAGGCCCTTAACCCCAACTGCTCCAGGGGCGCCGGACAATGGCAGACCCTGCGCTCTGACCCCAGGCTCTTTCCCTGTCTGTGCATCTGTGTGTCTCATGGAGAGCAAGCTGGGGTATGCGAAAAGATCATTTCTAATGCAAAAAATTGTAAATGTCATTAAACAAATATTCATCAGTCAAAATGGGATGACGAAATTAAAGTTTTATGTCAAAATCCAAAAAACATGTATTATGTTAGAATATATAAAGCATGAATCTAAAGTAATCTAATGAAATTTTGTTTTTACATAAAATATTAAGAGTTTTAAAACTGTAACAAAGTTAAATTGTACTAATATGTGAATATTTTATTCTCCATAGCAACTTCTCTCCGCTTTGATAGGCTAAAGCATGAAACACTACCATTCTGCAAAGAAGTGGGGGCAATTCCATTCAGCGGAGTCTGCTCCGCTCATGAGCAGCCTTGTGACACACAAATTTAGAAATGGGACACCCTAAGCCCTTGCCCTTGACTTGAGTGAGAGCGTGCATATGAAGGGCACAAGAACACAAGTGTGCATATTGGGACTCGGCAATAGGAAATGACATCAGGAGTGGTTGCTAATTACTGACAACCAAGTCTGATTGAAGGTGTTCAACCTTATTAACCCTACTTCACACTTTCATGTCAAGATCATTACGTCCACAGCAGGTTTTTTTGTTTTGATTATACTATGAATTAGTCCCTGAGGCAATACCGTCGAAATTATAATTAAAAAAACTTTTGCACGAGAAGTCCTGTACTGCTTGCAAAGTAGCTGATTCTGACAAACTTAAACAGCTAATTTTGCTTAAAGAATTTAAGATCTGTCTGCTTGACTGTATTGCAGCTTATTTCATGGATCAGTTCTGACACCAACTGTGATATCCAATCTAAAATTAAGATCTGCTTCTTTGACATTACGCAAAATGGTTTTGACTCTTATTAAACTTCAAGATCCTGACTGATTTGACTTTCTATTTGTTTTATTTAGCTGAAAAAGAAAATGAAGAGGTTTTATAATAAATCATTTTTGGAATTCCATTTATTATAAAACCACGGACATCGACACAGAAGCTACTGCGGTTCATAATCTCTCATTAATTTACAAACGTATCGAACTCTGTGACACTGCACCTCTTTGACTGAATTTTTTATCACCTTTATTACCTTTGTCTGTCCAGGGGGTGGGGTTGGGGCTGACGTTACTGTCTAACTTCCTCAATTTAACATCTGATATGTCCCCAGTATCTCTATGAGATTGTGAATGTAAAGTGAACAAAAAGTAAAAACTATTTCTATTTTTTACTTAATTTTTATGCTAGTGCTCTGAGAAATGCTTAGAATAATACTTTCACCTTTGGAAGATGAGCAACTTCTCTATTATTCATTAATCTGGGAAGTGTACTCTGGTTGCAGGAGCAAGTCTTCCACAGAACAATTTCATTCCAAAATGAAGGACCGTAGAGAAAGCAAAACCCTTCCCAGAGAAAGCAGAATTTTAATGCAAATGACCTTCTGTGATTTTCTGCTCTTTGAAAACACTGCATGAGTCAAATCATAATTCACCATGAAATGAAGATCATTACTTTTTAAAAATACAAGTATGAGGGGAGATAAGAAAAGCAAATGTATCTACATTATCTGGCCACAATGAAAGAAACTCTCCAGGGTTGAGCAACAAGAAGTATGTAAACACAGAAATTGTCACCTTAAGTACTAATACTTATATGTTTTCTACAATTTTAGCAACAAGCATTTAGTATTGTTGTGCCTGGGGGTGGCAGCTGAATTTCAGCAAGGTTTCCAACTTATGCACAACAGGCAACCCACTGAAGCTAAGCAGCTGTGAGCCTGGTCAATACCTGGATGAGAGACCTCCTGGGAAAAACTAAGGTTGCTGCTGGAAGAGGTGTTAGTGGGGCCAGCAGGGGGCACTCACCCTGTGGTCCATGTGGGTCCTAATGCCCCAGTATAGTAACGGGGACACTACACTGTAAAAAGGCGCTGTCCTTCAGATGACACATAAAACTGAAGTCCTGACTATCTCTAGTCATTCAAATCCCAGGGCATTTCTCAAAAAGAGTAGGGGTGTAACCCCGGTGTCCTGGCCAAATTTCCAATTGGCCCTTACCAATCATGGCCTCCTAATAACCCCCATCTATGAACTGGTTTCATCATTATTTTCTCCTCCCCACTAAAAGCTGATGTGTGGTGAGTGTACTGTCGCACTATGGGCTTACTACCCCCTATCATCAGAGCTTTGCTGGTGAATAAAAGGACACACGTGCCGCATAAGGCTCAATAACACTTTCTCTGACTGGGGGTGAAATTATTAATATTTATAATATATATACAAGCTGGTGTCAGAACCCTAATTTTTACATTGATTTAATAACCTCCTATTTACAATTTATCACACCCCCTGTATTTTTTTACAATTCCTTAACAATACTAAAGCAAAATGAATCATTCCAAGACACTATAACTAAATCTGCATACAGACAAAAATGCATAATACTGAGCAACATAGTGATGTTATGAACATATTATGACTGTGATAAGCTTGACGCGAAGGTAAATAATTTCAGAATTCTTAAAAATGGTTCAGGAAATCTCAAGAAAAGTAACATGCTGTATGAAACATGCTTTTTGTTGCTGATCTGTTCAACAGTCTGAAAGCTTAGGCTCTTTACCTGAATCCCCATCTGGGGTGCTGTTAGCAGTGCTGGCTTGTGAGAGAGTGGTCCAGCTGGAGTCCTCGTCACTGGGTACTGCATTCCTTGTCCTGAAGAACAGGCAGGTGTTCTTAGAACCATCCTTACGTGAATCTGAGCTGCTCTGCGTCTCTGAGGAAGAGTCTGTGTCCTTCTCCCCCACCAGTGGTCCATCCTCCTCCTCTTTCCCTTCCAACCTGTCGGATGTGTCAATTACCAGAGGCTGGTTGGCAATGTTCTTGGTGGAGACCTCCAGGTCAGAGTAGAAGGACAGGAAGTCCTTGGGGGACATGTTCTTCTCCTCAGTGGAGGGGTTTGGGTTGCGGTTCAGGTCCTGCTTCTCCGCCACCTTGCGTAGCTGGTTTTGACCTTCTTTTACCCACTTGGCATTGGTGGGCTCATTGGCAGCATGCTTGTGGGCCTGCTCATTCTCCTGGTTCTTGACTCTGTCCTCATCCCTGCAGTAGGCCAGCTCATTGGAGCACTCGCTGGGCAGTGCCAGCCCCATGGTAGCAGGGAGGTCAGTGGAGGCATAGATGTGGTGGGTCTTGGGAGAGGCAGAACTTTTGCCCACCTCAGGGTCCAGCAAGGTGCTGTGAGGGTAGCGTAGGCTTAACGTCAGGGAGTGTTGCAGACAGGTGTTTTCATTGGCTAGGTCTGACGGCTTCTCCAGTGACATGACAAAGAGCTGGAGCACTGTGAAGCTTCTGAAAGAATGAGGATGAGATAAAGAAGTTATGAATGAATAGGACACTGGGCACCATCCCCATCACTACAAATGCATTACGTTGCCCATCCCTTTACTGTTCAGCTCACGCTTTAAACTATGATCAGGAAGCCTGATTTCAGATCAGCTAACAAGAAGAGCTAAAAATTATTTAGTTGCTTTTGCAAATTTCTCATTTCAAACAAATTCAGTTGGTATTTCATGCACACCCTCAACAAATGCAAGAAAATGCTAAATCCCAGCTCCTGAATGAGATGGCAGTTTATTCAACACCCCTGAAGACTTCCACTGTACAAATGCACTGCCTCTAACAATGCTCCTTGAAAGTTTGTGAACCCCTTCTGTAGTTCTTTAAATCTTACATTTTCACTATGAAATCCTTGTTTAATTAAAACTAGTCCTTACTTTTCTAAAAGAAAGGGTTTATATCCACAAATTCTATGTATTGTTTAGAGGAACTGACGTATGCAATAGAAAAAGAAACAGGTAAATAAGAATTAGTGCACGTGCAAAAGTAAGTCATCAGCTCAGTCAATGAGGTAAGTGACTAGGTTCTTACCCGTTCTTACCCATACAAGTATAGCAACAAGGCCTATTATTTTATTTAGAATTAAGTGGTATTTCTAATAACCAACTAGGTGCCTCTCTCTATATGCACAGGAATGTAGCTAAAGAGGCCCCCTCTTGGTTATCTCAGGATGATCTACAGGATCTACAGGAGTTGGTGATCTAAAGGATGGCCTTTGCATGTCTACAGACATATTTACAGGTCTTTGCATGTGGGAAAGTAAGGGAGGTGAGTTTATCTTTTGGATAATGATCTTCTGAAAAAAAAAATATAGCATGGAACGAACCAAGTTCCTCTTCTGTCTACCTTGTGGACCTCCAAGAAGACAAACTGCACAGACTGTTTTAAAGATCGAAGTCAGCAAGAAGTTTGCTTTAGCAGTGCTGTCTGAGCCCCACCAAAGCTGCTCCGGAAACCCAGCCTAGCTCCTTTTTACCAGCACGAAGTTTAAACTCATCAAGGACATTTGGACAATTAATCCATGTATTAAATTGCATTATTCACATCATAATTCACAAGAGCTGAACCAGTACCCCAAATGCATGTTTGATGTTTAGATACCAATAGTTAATGTATATTTACTTGTGCCTGAGAATATAACTGTCATTTAGTTATACGAGACTGACTGAACCTACAAGCTAGACCATAGCACGTTATAGTCAATGTGTATTTTAACTCTAAAGTTATTAACTTTAATATTTTTAATTCCTCAATGAACGATCAGCATTCGTGTTCACAGCAGATCGTTCTACAGATATATTCTATTACATTATTGATTATGCATATCTTGGTTATATTAATTAATTGGATATTGTATATTTAGAATCCATGTGTGATACTGTAAATTATTATGATTGATTGGTTCCTAAAAGTCATCAAGCACTCTCTGAAGTTATGGTTTGTGGTACAAGGCAGGGAGTGTCTGGTGTGGGGGTGGAGCCCCAGATTAAGGGAGACACGTTTCCATGGAAACCACACCTGACGTGAATAAGTGAATGAACGGCAAGTGTAGAAGTGGTTTAAAACTAGCCGGAATACTTCCTGGAGAGGGGGAAAGATTCAGCAGGACTTCAGTCTTGCTGTGGCTGCATTGGTGAGAGGAGGAATGTGGAGGCTGGGCTGTGAGAGAGCTGGGCTGAAGCATGACAGTATGACGGGTGTGAGATACTACTAGTCAGGGCGATGTAAGAAGAGCGTGCCGCCGTGTACAGTATGAGTGAACAAAGACTTGATTAGCTGCTGTGGTAACCCAGTGATATGCAGTAGAGAAGAACAACAATTCCGGAGGGGGTTGTGAGAGCCTGTGAGGAAAAGAGTGAAAATGTCACTCTTTTCACTTTTCACAAAGTGTGTTTGTGTGTGGGGGGGGGTGTGGGGGGGAGCACAGTGAGGTGTGCTGGCAATTGCATGGTGTAACGCTGTAGTGTGCTCTCTGAAGGCACCAGTTCTGTAGGCTTTTGACATTTACTGGGACAATTAATTGTAGCAGTAAATCACAAAATGGATTCTTTTGATGGCTTTAGAATCCAGCCATGCGATATAACTCAAACAACGCACACACACAGGTACTAATACACGAGGATACATTTATTAATACATAAAATATGCATGTAAACCTAACAGATCTTATCGAGAGGGTAATCAGAATACAAAAGGTATATATTTAGTCAGTTACGAAGAGTTACATATATCAAGAGGACATACGTTCAGTATATCATTCATTTAGACCGTTTCGTAAATGAACTTGGTTATAACTTCTACATTAGATAGTCAAAACAAGTACATAACTCTTAGGAATTAAATTGATATCAACTGGTTGGGATAACAATTGAATTCTCGAGCAGTAATGCAGTGAAGTTAAATACTCATCCAATCTTTGGGGATTCAGATCTCCTGCGGGCTCTCTGGCTCCGTGCCAGGCTGTGCTGTGCGGCTTGCGACGGTGCGCTGCTGATGCTCACTGACCGGCTAGTTAGTGTTGGCTTTAACTAGCAAAGTTTGTGCACAGGAGAAAAGATGACTGTGGGTCCCAGCAGGTCAGGAAGAAGACCGGTTCGTTCCTGATGAAGCGCTAGTTCTGAATAGTGATTCAGCTGTCCACAGTTCCGACCTGTTCACGAGGCCTGCTGCTGGTGCTAACCTTGGGTGGATCCTCTGGTTACTCTCTGGCAACCTCCGCTTTCGACTCTTAGAACAAAGGAAAGTTCTGGCACTCGGACACACTGGCCGTTCCGTGGTTGTCCGGGCTGAGTCTCAGGATGGTCAGGAGGCGCTCTGCGAGAATGTCCTGCCCTTAGGAGCCTTCTGCTCCTGGGCCGTCCTGCCCTGGAATTCTCCTTTGAGATTCTCCCTTTCAGGAAAGTCCACTACAGGCTCTCTGTGTTGCCTGTTTTTACCTGGAGGAACTTCAGCTCGTTGATTGGCTGAAAGTTCCATGGGCATCAGAGTCCCACGTGGGTTACTCAGCCCTACCAATCCCTGATTGGTTGATCAAGGTGAGATATGAGTCACTTACTCCTGACACTTAGTAATGCAGTCCAGATGTCCATCTGGCACTCCCTAGACAGATAGGCGCCAATGGATGACCATTGATCATGATAGCCAGGCTTAGCTAAGTGCATCCCCCTTTGGGAGCTGTCCCTTATCAAAAGAAAACATCTTTAAATCAGCCTGCATGAATAGCTTCTTTGTGGCTGCACCACAGAGATGAAGAGAGAGATGAGGCCTCATTTGGGAAAGCACAGCAACACTTAATTCTGTCTTATTAATAAGCCTCGCCACTACAACACAATGATGGCTGGGCAGGATGTGAGGTGCACTGGTAGCTGTGAGTTCACAACCTAAGGGCGTGAGAGTGAGGCCCCAGAAGGGTTGTGAGTGTGTAGAAAGGGACAGTGTGTTGGGTCTCAGCATGGTGTGTAGTGCTGAAGAGACTCGGTGATGTAGGTAGTGTGTGTCTGATGCCACCTGGTGGCATCAGAGGAGGACATCAAGGCTGGAGGCTGACCTGGGAGTCTAAGGCTCTGGTTGGGTATGAAACGGTGACCTGATGTAATAGGAGCAGGAGTCTCCATGATGGTGTCTGAGAGCAGGAGGTTTCTAGCAGTGAGGACAACGGGATGAACTTGGTGAACCTGAGACTCCAAAGTTAAAGGGCCCAGAGGTAATGGAATGTGGAGTCATGTATCCTGTTATCCCGATCAGTGTAATCACCACTCTTGGAGGAGAGTGTGTGCAAGATAAAGAAAAGGAACCCAAAAGAGCTTATAAAGGGGCGTGAACAGGGGAAAATGGGAGCCTGACCACACCCAATGCAGTGTCAACTACCCCCATGGCACCACAGGTTACAACTTCTGACTTATTATATATGACTTATAGCAAATTAAAACCCCCAATCTCCACTTTAGTGCAATACTTCATGCAACAACCTAAAGAGACCTCAGATTACATCAGGGAGAATGGTGTAAGTGTTCATCAGTATGTAGAAGGTTCTAAAACCATAGCAAAATGTTTTGGAATGCATATGTCTACAGATGGAGAAAAATTAAGATCACGGAGACTCAACTAAGGTGTGGACATCCTTTTAAAATTATGGGTTTAGTGTGGCTTTTCTGTCAACTGACCTGAACAACTCTCAACATTGAGGGAACTATCAATTCAGAGTCATACCAAAATATTGTAGAGCAGAACATCAGGCCATCTGTCTTGAGCTGAAATTAAGCCAAATATGTGTTCTCCACCATAAACCTTAAAGACCCTAAATGACCCTAAACATTTCTGCAAATCTACCAAAGAATGGATTAAGACGAAGACATTTTGGGTTTTGAAATGACCAAGTCAAAGTCCACATCTCAACCCAATAGAAATGTTGTGGCAAGACCTGAAGCAGGCTGTCCATACAAGACAGCCAACAAATCTGGAGCAATCTGTTCTGTAAGGAAGAATGGGCAAACATTCATCAAACAGATGTAAGAGACTAGTAAGTAACCATAAGAATTTTGTTTTTTTGCTCTTATAGCTAATAAAGGTAACACTACTAACACTACAATACTTTGAATTAAAAGGTTCAATTACTTTTCCCCAACAAAGATCACTGAGTTTCTATTAAATAA